GCACCACATAAAATAAAGATGTTGTGTTCACCAAAAACTGAAACATAAATATAAAAAAAGACGTATTCTTAAGAATAATGTTATAATTAGATTTAGTGTTATCAGTCACAAAAAAGAAAAGGTATAAAAAGAAAAATACATCCTTATGTGTTTCCTGATAGAAGTACAGAAAACATCTATTGATATTCTTGTCCAAAAAACCTGGATCTGAACAAGTTTCTAGATCTTACTACTGATTTTTTTTGGGTGGGTGGTGGTAATCGTTAACACTGAGGAGTTTCAATTGGCAAAATCCAGATATTGGGAGATTTTACAATAAACTGGTTGGTTTCTTCAAATACTACAAGAAGAAACACAGGCAGCATAAGGAAGGGGAGGCTTATAGATAAAGAGACATATGAATTGATTATAATAGATGGACCTTATATACTGATTTGAACAATCAAACTATAAATATTTTGAGACAATTGGAAATTCAAACAATTACTATATATTCGATATTGGGGAATTATTAAAATTTTAAGATACAGTGTTGATATATGATTGTGGATTAAAAGAGTGCCCTACTTTCTCTTTTAACTGAAAATGTATTGACATCTTTGTAAGTTAAAGAATGAAGTCTATGAATTTGCTTCAAGATAACCTAAAGGGAGACCAGTAGAGGAAAGGAACCAAGTGGACTTGGGAGAGCTGGGGAATAATATTGGCCAATTATATTGTGTGTATGTACGAGTATGTAACAACAAATCCCATCAGTATGTATAACAAATAAAAAATGTGTGTGTGTGGGGAAAGATAACCTAGGGAACATAGTTTTGGGGGGTAGAATTAACCATGACTTGGTAATTGTTGAACCTGAACGTGAATAACATGAATGGTCATTCTATTAGATTAAACTATAATATTTCATAGATTAAAACAATTTCAGGGGCTGGAATTCAATGGCAGAGTGCTTGCCTAGCATGTGTGAGGTACTGGGTTTGATCATTAGCACCACACACAAGAAATTAATAAGATAAAGGCATGCTGTCCATCTACAACTACTAAATAAATAAACAAATAAAACAATTTCAGTAAGACATGGAGTTAAAACTAACACTGTTCTTTTTACTTCTGAATATGTTTGAAATTTTCTGTAATAAGTTAAATAAGTACAAAACAAAATAAAATCTTTAAGAGACAAGTGGAAATTTTAACTCTGACACATTGACATTAAGGAATTATTCATTTTTTTTCATGTGTAATGACACTTTTAAACAGCTCTGTTAATTATTTTAACAAGTCCTCATGTTTTTGGAGCTTTGTTGGTGTATGTATAAGTTAAAATGATGTATAATTTATGAGATTTGCTTCAGAATAATACAGTGGAATGTCTGGGAGTGAGAGAGTTGTAAAGAAATAGAATTTAGCCTTGCATTGATAATTATTGCAGCTGAGTGATGGGTTTATCTTTACTTTTTAATAAGTTTGAAATTTTTCATAATTAAAAGTTTAAAAAAGCAAGGATTTAATCAGGTATGTTAACTCTTTTTTTTTTTTTTTTTTACTTTTTTTTGAGCCAGGGGCTCACTGCTCCTCTACCCTAGCTGACTCTATAAGCCCTCACTGCTGCACCAGTTCTGTGTTAACTCTCAACATTTATGCCATCATTTTCCATAATAGGGTTATATTTCCATATAAGGGAATTTCTGTGATACCTGGAAAGCATATTTTATTTAATTACTTATTTTTGTTTTTGTACCAGGAATTGAACCCAGGAGCACTGAACACTGAGCCATATCCCTAGCCCTTTTTGTGTTTTGTTTGAGACAGGGTCTCACTAAGTTGCTGAACTTATGATCCTCCTGCCTCAGTCTCCCTAGCCATTAGGCTTATAGGCGTGGCCAGTATGCTCCGCATGTATTCATTTTTAGTACCTTCACTTTCTGTCAGAAAACTACTGCAAGTTTTTCATTTATGAAAGCAATACAAAAGTATAATTTTAAAATGAATATAAGTAAAAATTAATCGGCCTAAAGTATTTCCTAAATAATAGTTGTAGAATTCAGAGATGAGATAAACTGTATGGTGTAAGAATGAAGTTGGAACCTTTACTATACTGATCTGTGCAAATAGCCAAATGAAGAAGCATCTATTATAAATGTTGTATATATCCCTAATATCCACATTTTGACACCTACCATAAATCTTCTGTGTGGTTGCATGTGTGCCTGAGTATCTTGAAAGGCTTTAAAACTTACCAGAAATTACAGAGGACATTTTTTTTCTTATCATTACAGAATGTCATACCCAGGCTATCCCCCCACAGGCTACCCACCTTTCCCTGGATATCCTGTAAGTATTGACACTTCAAAAACTAAAAACTCATATCCTTGAAACAGGTATTATATATAGGAGTAACTGATTGCAGATCTTACATATGTGCTAGAGCAGGGTCATAAACTTAAACCTCCAGAGGTACCAAGTATAATTGGTGATTATAAGCAGATGCTGTAGGGAAACTATCAAGAACAGTTTTCATTTATGGGAAGCTGGTGGCTACTCAGCTCTAGCCCCATAAGGCTAAGCATGGAGGTAGAACCAGTGTTGCAAGATATTTCAACACCTCAAGTAAAGCCAGAAACTTACATTTAGTGTGCAATGACCTAAATTTTAAAAATTTTGAAGTTTTAAAAATGTTAACTGATACATGAGCTTATAAAACGGGTATGTAAGCCAAGTCCATCCCATGAATGCCTGGCTTTTAACCATTTTGTTAGATTTAAAATAATGAAGAAGATCTTGACTCAAATAATGTGCAGTGGATCAGAGGGCCCTGGACTTGTTGATAGCTGAACCACTCTGAGGATGAAATTCATAGCTGAGGCATTCATAAGAATTGCACATTTCAATTTAATATTCATAAGTGTATTAGGACTGTTATATAACCCTGGGGGACTGTAAAGTGGGGCCTATACAGGTGAATGTTAATATATGGATCTTTATGTGAAGTAAATATATGGCTCTCCTGAATTTGTCAGAGGAGAAATGAGAATTACTAATATGTTCTCAGGTTTGTACTAAACTGTAACTCTGACAACCATTTCTGTCAGTTAGGCTAATTGCTAAAATAAACAACCCTAAAATCTCTGTAGTTTATCACACATATCTTGCTTGCTTCAATTTCTTGGAAGTGACAGTAGGGCAGGGGTGGCTGGGAGGAGGCCTTCTTTCATGTACTGCTTCAGATTCCCAGGTTCCTTCCTTGTATTGATTCTACCATCCTTTCACACCTCAGGTCTTCCACTGGATCCTATTTGGGTGGGAGATGAAGGAAGAAAGAAAACATGGAAGATTGGGTAGAGGTTTTTAGTGGCCAGGCTAGAAGTGGCATGCATAACTTTTGTCTGCTTTCATTCACCAGTGTTCAGTCATGTGGTGCTCCCTAACTGCAAGGAGTTCAGAAAATGTAGTTCAGCTTTGTGGCTGGGGAGAAAGAGTTTGTTTTTGTTTTTAAAGATCGTCAGTGTTGCCCAGGATGGCCTTGAACTCTTGGCCTCAAATGATCCTCCTACCTCATCCTCCCAAGTAGCTGGGAGTACAGGGGTGTGCCACCACAACTAGCTAGAAGGAGTTTATTGAACACATTAAAGAAAGTCTACCACTCGTAAATGTCTCTGAACTAAAATCCAAAATGTTATACCTTGTGTATGATTGAATCACCCCCTTTTCTTTAATCTTATGCAACAGGTCCAGTTGTATTGCAAGAAAACAATGAATTCTTCTCTTTATGGTAGAGAGGAATATCTTTATCATATTTGCAAATGCTAGGAAAGTGAAGCTTTATTAGTTGTTTTAGAAGCCTTGGGGTTGGCAAGAACCTAGTTCTGACATTCAAATAGAGAAATGGACCCCTCTTACATGACCCAAGTAGAATTAAATTTAACAAAATTTTGACAAATGTCTGAGAAACTTGTTTAGTACTTATAAACTAGTGTAAGATGCTAGGACTTATAATGAGATTTTTAAAAAGTAAAATAATAAGCTAAGAGACCTTGATGATAATTTTTGGTCCTCTCTTTTAAAATATGGGTCATATTTCTCTGATCATATTCATTTGAAAAATTTTCTGGTTTTCTAGCCTGCAGGTCAGGAGTCATCTTTCCCACCTCCAGGTCAATATCCTTATCCTAGTGGCTTTCCTCCAATGGGAGGAGGTGCCTACCCACCAGCACCAAGTGGTGGCTACCCAGGAGCTGGAGGCTTCCCTGCATCTGGAGGTTATCCAGCCCCTGGAGGCTATCCTGGTGCCCCACAGCCAGGGGGAACTCCATCCTATCCTGGAGGTGAGTTGTGGATTGTGGGATTACTGATTTGGGATTGCTGAAGTACTTTTTCCTTTTCTCTCTTTAATTCCTGCTTGTTTTTATAAGAGGTCAGAGTTGTTCTTAGTTAATCATGGACGGTAAGAGGAAATACCTAGCTGGCAAGGTGGAAGTATAAAGGTTCTCAGAGGACCTGAAAGCTGGGAGCAGTCTAAAAAATTCTGTGGAGAGAATTGGAATAAATTTAATGGTAATAATGGGCCAATATGTAACACTCTGGTTGATTATTTATGATTCTAAGAACTAAGGCACTTCAGTTAGTATGACTTTAACCTTCAACTTTATCTGAAGGTTTTTAAAAGAAGGAGAAAAAAACCCCCCAAAAACCTTAGCAGTTTGTATGGTCAGTTAATAAAGAAGATGAGTGTAGTAAAAATTTTAATTTTATGTATTTTTGGTACCAGGGACTGTACCCAAGGGTGCTTAACCACCGAGCCACATCCCTAGCCCTTTGTTATTATTTTGAGACCGCCTCACTAAATTGCTGAAGCTGACTGTGAACCTGTGATCCTCTTGTCTCAGTGTCCCAAGCTGCTGGGATTACAGGTGTGGGCCTCTGCCAGTTTGTAGTAAAAAATTTTAAGGAGTTGGTGAGAAGCTGAATAATACACAAGGGGACTGCTTTTGCAGCATTACTACTATAACGTTTCCCAGCAGATTACTCTGCTGGGCGTGGTGGCACTCACCTGTAATCCCAGCGGCTCAGGAGGCTGCGGCAGGAAGATCCAGAGTTCAAAGCCAGCATCAGCAAAAGTAAGGTGCTAAGCAACTCGGTAAGGCTCTGTCTCTAAATAAAATACAAAATAGGGCTGAGGATATGGCTCAGTAGTTGAGTGCACCTGAGTTCAATCCCCACTGCCAAAAAAAAAAAAAGATTACTCTGAAGTTTTCTCTGCATGAGAATTTTCACTATAGTTTATTGAACTATTTTTTAGTTCCTCCAGGCCAAGGATATGGAGCCCCACCCAGTTCAGCGAGCTTTTCTGGTTATCCACAGCCACCTTCACAGACTTATGGTGGTGGTCCAGCCCAGGTCCCACTACCTGGTAGGTATCAGCTGGTAGTATAGAGAGAAACAGTAACATAATACTATGAATTTTTAATCGCCATTGAGAGAACTTGGTTTATGTTTGTGATAGTCTTCAGTGAATATTATATGGTTTCATGAAGCAATTTAATGGAAGTGCTTAATCAGTAAAATGGGGATGTGGAATCACTTTTTGTATTTAAAAGTATCTCCAAAGCCAAAAAGAAAACACTTTAGGAACATCTGTCCAGTGTGTGCCACAAATGAAAACACCCCTGATAACCATTCCAGGTGGAGTCAGAATTAAATGTGGGTCAAATGTAAAAATAAATAATTTGTTACTGTTGTGTAGAACAGGGAATATTAAAAAAACCATGTTGGGTTTAAAATCAGTGTCCTAGTGTGACATCCTGTTGATAGCATGAATGTTCGCATGTTTCTATATTCATAGTGATCAGTGTTATTTTGAAATATTGTCATATAACCTGTTTTTTTTTGGGGGGGGGTTATTGTTGTTTTTTAATATTTAGGTGGCTTTCCTGGAGGACAGATACCTTCTCAGTATCCTGGAGGACAAGCTCCTTACCCTAGTCAGGTATTTTTGCTTCTAACTTTTAAAATTTAGTTTGGGAAACTGGAAAATGCCAAAGAAGGATCCCTCTCCTTTGCTAATATTAGAGGTTTCCATGAAGCAGAGGAAATGGCCTATTACAGTTACTTGACTTTAATCTTTGCTTCTGATAGATCCCTTGCTGTCTTTTGTCCATCAGCTTTTAGTATCCTGATAACTTCAGTAAGATACATACAGATCCTTCTTACAGATAATGAAGCTCATAACTTTAAAGATTCACTTGGGTTCTCAGCATTGGTTTTAGTTCTTTTTCCTCTTTCCTGCCCTTACCAGCAATTATAACTATGAACTTGGGTCACTGGGTGATTGGAATTTCTGACAATTATTTATGAAGGGTTGTTTTGCTTTTCACTTTTCCATTTATAACTTTCCACTCTTCTTTCAGATCAATACAGAATCCTTTCCTTCCTATCCTGTTTTTTCTCCTGTTTCTTTGGATTATAGCAGTGAAGTGAGTAAGGCTTTCTAATGTTCATTAATCACTAGATCCTCTCTATATTCCTCTATTTGTTTCTGGTTTCTCATGCATTTTTCTTTCATCACTTCCTTGAAAGCTCAATTGTGTGGGGGTTTATCTTTTTGTCCCAATAGTACTTGGCAGGGCTTTGAACATGGTAGTTGGTTAAGCATGTTGCATCAATTTCTTGGTAGCCCCAGACAGTCTCCCATACATATGTATATGAAATCTTCATCCCATCTCTATAGATCTGCTGGTTTATTATATTTCTTTTTCAGTGGTACTGAGGACTGAACCTAGGATCTGAGCATGTGAGGCAGGCACTTTGCCACTGAGCTACATGTCCAATCTGATAACTCCTTATTTTTTGTGTGCTGAGTGTTTTTTTTTTTTTATTTGATGCTTTATTATTTTTTGTGTGCTGAGTGTTTTTTTTAAATTATTCTTTTTAGATATAGAGCAGTAGAGTATATGACAGTAGAGTATATTTTGATATGCATGCATGGAGTATATCTTATTCTAATTAGGATAATACTATTTTATTCTTAAATCACTTTATTAATTATTTCATATCCTGTGGAAGTTACTAGGATTAGAAGCAGTATACTTTTACCTTGATTTTATTATTGATTTTCTCTATTATATATTAACAAAGGTCTAGCATTTTCAAGCTTATTTTAGGCTGGAGTATAGTATTAGAAGAGAAATACCTTAGTGAATTATTTTGGCTCACTTTTCTGATTTGAGGAATTTGAGATCCAAAGAGGTACCTCTTCTAGGGCCATACAGTTGGGGAAAGACAAAGGTGAAGACCTGATTGTAGTTCTTCTGACTTTCAGACCAGAGTCTTTCTGTTACTCTGTGCTTCTTTGCCAGTATAGCAAATGATATTCCTCCAAAGCACATAGTAAATGGCTTTCAGTCCTTTTTTATGATTGAAGTTGATTATTCATCATATTATAAATCTGTGGTTAATCACTTGTGAGAATTTTGATTTTAGCTTATGCAGATATATAGCTTTAAAGACATCATTTTATAATTAAATGAGATTTTTTAAAATATAGAACAGTAAAATTAAAATATATACACGTACACAACTTATTTTGTGTAACAATTTCCACCTTAAACTAGAACTGAAATTAATAGGGAGACCCAGCAGCTTGGGAGGCTGAGGCAGGAGGATTGCAAATTCAAAGCCACCTCAGCAATTAGCAAGCCCCTAAGCAACTTATCGAGACCCTATCTCTAAATAAAATAAAAAATAGGGTTGGGGATGTGGCTCAGTGTAAAAGCAGCCCTGGGTTCAATCCCTGGTATTTAAAAAAAAAAAAAAATGGGGAGTTAACAGAGCAGTAGATTTTGGAAGAGCTTTTATTTATTTATTTTTTAATACTACTGGAGATTGAGCCCAGAGGTGCTATACCACTATGCTATATCCTCAGCCCTTTTTTGTTTATTTAAAAAAAATTTTAAGACAAGGCCTAGCAAAATATCCCAGAATGACCTCAAACTTTTACTCCTTCTCCTCAGCCACTGGAATAGTTGAGATTACAGGCATGCACCATTGTGCCCACCTAGCTGGAAGAGCTTTAAGATGGAAATAGCTTAGTAGCTCAGTGGTTAAGTAGTTAAGTTCAATCCCTGGTACAAAAAAAAAAAAAAACGCCCTTACCCACCTTTAGTACCAACTGATTTCAACCTTCCCACTGAAAAACTAACCAGAATTAGAGTTGGACCAGAGAGATCAGCTAGCCCAATTACCCATACAAGAGAGTAATTTTTCTTTATATCTTTCTTTTTTTGGCGGGCGGGGGATGGATAACCAGGTACTGAACTCAGGGGCATTTGACCACTGAGCCACAACCCCAGCCCTATTTAAAATATATACATTTATTTTTAGTTAGAGGTGGACACCATATCTTTATTTTATTTTTATGTGGTGCTGAGGATCGAACCCAGTGCCTCAAGCATGCTAGGTGAGCACTGAGCCACAACCCCAGCCCTATTTTGTATTTAATTTGGAGACAAGATCTCACTGAGTTGCTTGGGGCCTTGCTTTTTGTTGAGGGTGGCTTTGAACTCGTGATTCTCCTGCCTTAGCACCCAACAAAGAGAGGGACTTCTATTAGCAGACACATAGTGCTAAGAAATCTCTCCTAGAGCTTTGACTGTTAGGAACATAGACTGATTTCTTTGAATTTAATATAATTCCTAGAGGATGATAATATTCTTGAAGATTCATTTCTAACTTAAGACTTTCAACATAGAATACATCAACATTTTTCTCTACAGATGAAAAATAAAAGATTTTTTTCTTTTAGACAAAAAAGGAAAACAGTAGGAATCATCAAACAGTGTATGACAACAGTTCATTTTTCTTACTGTTCAGACCAGGTTATTAAAAGCAAGGTCTTCTGCCCTTCTAAGAATTTAGACAACAGTAGCTATCTCAATGGCCAGTATCTTAGTTTCTTGATACAGTAAGGCTTAAGTAAGAAGAGTATGTTGAAATTTTTTATACTTGAATATTTGCTACAAGTAGAATAATTAATAGTTTTTCCTTAAAACCATCATAGGAATATTTCTTGTTAGTATTCTGCTTACATTTTTGGCTAGTAAGTGGGAGGAATTATTGACCATAAAATATTATCTTGGGACTGTATCTCTCTGGTAGAATGCATGCCTAACATGCCCAGGCTCTGGGTTCAATCTCCAGTGCTGCCAAAATAAAAGTTTTTTTTGAAAGAAGGTCATGTTCCCTTCTTCCCATTTACTTTGACCACAGTGTATTATGTATTCGGTAGGTATAATTTTAAATTCAGTTTTAGTTGCCTAAAAAGCAGTTGGATCATTTTTGAAATAATATTGATTGCATGTTTAAATGATAATATCTTTGACATATTTGGTTAAATAAAACATGTTGTTATAATTAAAATTTTTGAAAAATTCATGTGTTATTATCTTGCTTCATTCCATCCCTTACTAAGTCTGACTTGGAATATTTTAAGAAAACTATTAAATTGTTTCCTAGCATGGTATTTAAAGTGAAATACTGTTGCCCAACCTCAGACCTTATTTAAATTTTACTAATTGCCCCAATAATGTCCTTTCTCTGATTCAGGATCAAATCCAGAATGAAACACTGAATTTATTGTCATATCCCTCAAGGCCTCTTTAATCTAAAATAGTCTTCAGTCTCTTGTTCATGACCTTTACGCTTTTGAAGAACACTCATTTATTTTTAAAACATTTCTTAATTTTGGGTTTGTTTGATATTTCCTCATAATTAAATTCAGGTTATGCCTTTTTGTCAGGAATACCACAGAAATGTTGTTTTCCTAGCATATCATATCCAGAGGCACTTAGTGACTTCTTCCATTGCTAGCAAAAAAAATTTTTGATCACTTATTTAAAACATTGCTTGCTCAGTTTCTCTCATGTAATAATCCAAACTATGCAGTTATCTTTGTTCTGATCATACTTTTGTCTCCTAATTTTAGCATCCATTGATAACAGTTATAACTGAAACAGTTATTACTGTGGTATTTGTCAAATGGCGATTTTTAAGTTTCCACAGAGATTTGTACTTTAATAATATAGTCCAGGGTAGAGCGCTTGCCAAGCATGTGTGAGGCACTGGGTTCAGTTCTCAGCACCACATACATAAATAAATAAATAAATAAATAAATAAATAATAAAGGTTAAATTCTTAAAAAATATTATATGTATCTATAAATTTTATATATATATAAAATTATATATGTATGTATATGGTCTATGTTCTGGTTTCTCATTTGTTTCCTCATAAGATAGGAATATTGTACCTTTCAGAATCTTAATCATTATTTTTTTCATTTTGTGGTTTTATTATAAAACATTTTATTTTTAATAATCAGGGCCTTTGGAAGAAATGAAGAGATATTACCAAAATTATATTGCTAGTTTGAAAACTTGTTGGGCTCTCATATCTATTTGACTAAAGCCATATTCTGCCTTTACATCAAACATTTTCACTCCTCTCACACTGTTTAGGGATCAGTCTTTTTTTCTTCCTGTTCTAGCAAAAAGGAAGCCAATGCATAAGAAGACCATAACTTTAATTTCACAAGTTTGACCCTTTTGTGTCCTTAAAGATTGATGTCTGGCTAATCTGTTAATACAAGAAAAATTGGTTCCAAAGTGGGATAGGTCTTTCCTATCTGTTCTAGAATGAGCCCTGGTAATAATATGCTCATATTCTTGATATTAAATCCAAATATTGACCTTCTTGCCTAAAGATTGATATCAGGAGAATCTTTAATTTGCCTTATTGTCAGCAGAGAATCCTGACTTGGATTTTATGTTTTGTTCTTAGCCTGCAGCAATGACTCAGGGTACTCAAGGGACCATTCAACCAGCTGCCAACTTCGATGCTATGAGAGATGCAGAAATTCTCCGTAAAGCAATGAAAGGATTTGGTAAGGAAAACAGATTTTGTCTTTTATAAGAAGTTAAAATAATTAACTCTGAAGTAAAATAAACCTATGTCATAAACCAAGTTCATGTGTCAGCCTGTGCCCATGCTTCATTTTTTTCTGGTACATACTACCTTGTAAGTATTCTATGGAATGATCTCCAGTAGCACCCAACATAGATTTCATCCTTACTTCAGTGTGTATGGTTCTTACAGGGACAGATGAGCAGGCAATTGTGGATGTTGTGGCCAGTCGTTCCAATGATCAGAGGCAAAAAATTAAAGCAGCTTTTAAGACCATGTATGGCAAGGTATGGGTTTTTGTTTCTGTGTTTTTGCTTTTCTTTATTGAGCACAAGCAGGGGCAGGTAGACTCTGCATTCATGTCAAATTGGATGCCATGTTTTTATTGGTATCTTTAGTACAATGGAGAGACAGCTAGAGTTTATAGACTCAGGAGTGGTGAATTCACTATATATTTCTTTTAAAAGCCTTTTTCATTCTAGAGAAATCCTGATCTCATAGTCATTCCTTATACTAATGTCTCATATGTGATAGTTGTTCAGTAGAAACCAAATTATGACCATAATCATGATCTCCTTATAGTGGAACTCAAGGCTTATTACATAGCCCCTGATTAATTCTTGGTCCTTAGCATCATCTACTCCTTCCTCTCCCTTCAAACAAGTTCTGTATTAACATTAAATGGAGCTGGCTGTGGTGGCACAGTGACTCAGGAGGCTGAGGCAGAAGGATTGAGAGTTCAAAGACAGCTTTAGCAACTTAGTGAGGCTTCAAGGAACTCGGTTAAACTTTCCTCTAAATAAAATACAAAAAAGGGCTGGGGATGTGGATCAATGGTTAAGTGCCCCTGGGTTCAATCCCCAGTACCCCAGTACAAAAAAAAAAAAAAATACATGTAACTACTTGCCATTCTTTGCATACTCTGTGGTCTCTCATATAGCATGTTTTGTACATGCTATGTTCCTGGCCTTTTACACCTTTTTGTCTGCATGACCAACAACTTCTTAAAGACTGGGTTTGAATATCAATTACTATAACATTTCTGTCATTGCTCTGGGCAGAATTTAACTATTCCTTCCACTCTGGTCCCATAGCACTTTGTATACTGTCACTAATCTCATGGGACACCTCTTATAACTGTGAGCTTCCCTAGGATAAACCATGTGTGTTTATCTTTATGCCTATAGCACCAAGCATACAGTAACAAGTAACTTCCTAATATTTGCTGAATGGATGATCATTGATTAAATCCAGCAAGACTATGGCTAACAAGTTCCATCCTTCTTTGGATTTAATGAGAAACACTGGGCAGCATTATTTGGCTATTTATATAGGAATCCCCAAAATTTCCTAATATCTTCTGCATCTGGTTTACTTTTCTCAAAATGGAGTAGTGATTCCTCAGTCTGGCCTTGCCTATTCTATTCTGCCTTTTCCTCTCCCCAACTCAGATTCACTACTACTGCGGCTACTTTTTTTTTTTAATTTTTAGGAAGGTGTGCTCTGGGGATCAAACCAGGACATCAAGCACATAGGCAAGCACTCTACCACTAAACCATATATGCTTCTTTATTCTTTTTTTTTTTTTAATCTTTTAGTTGTAGCTGGACACAATACTTTTATTTTAATAGGATGCTGAAGATCGAACTCAGGGCCTCTCATGTGCTAGGCGAGCATTCTACCCTTGAGCCACAACCCCAGCCCCCTCCCCGCTTCTTTATTCCTAAGATTAAGTATGCAAACACAAGCCCTAGACTTCCATAAAGTGCAATATCAGATTCATTTCTCTCATATTTTCCATGTTATGAATTTCTTCAGTTCATATCTAGTCTGTTATGCTATCTTGAATTTTCTCAGATACTGCTTTAGAATTAAAACTGAACTTACGACCTATTTTTCTTACCCCAGCTACCTTATCACTTGACTTCTTATTAGTAAAATGAGTTTTCTTGCATACTGTGGAGTCATCTTTGAGTCCATATTCTTTTTTTTTTAAAAAAAAAAACACATTTATTTTTATAGGTGGACACAATACCTTTATTTTGTTTTTATGTGGTGCTGAGGATTAAACCCAGTGCCTCATGCATGCTAGGCGAGTACTCTTCCTCTGAGCCACACCTCCAGCTCCTGATTCCATATTCTTTATCAATTAGTGAATATTTATTCAGGGCCTACTATATGCAAGTAGTGTCTTGTCCTAACAATTTTATTTACTAAGTTTTATTCTATAAAATGACTTTTTAAAAGTGTCTTTTGTATACTTTGTTCATTTCCATTGCTGCTGCCTAAGTTCAAGCCTGCTTGCCTGCCTTTCTTTCTTTCTTCCTGTCTCTTTTTCTTTCTCTCTCCCCCACCTCTTTCTTTTGTGGTGCTGGGGGATCATACTCATGTTAAACAAGTGTTCTACCATTGAGCTACACTCCAAGCCCAAGTCCAGGTCTTTATTACTTCTTAACTACATATTTCAATAGCCAAAATGTTCTTATTTATAGCTTTTTTTATTATCATGGACCATCCTGCATATTGTTACTATTTATATCAAACTATCTTGCATAAAAGTTTCCAGTGGCTCCTCCCAGAAAGTAATCCAATATTTAGTTATCTGCTATGAAAACCTTCTTATCTAACAAAATCAGTTGTCTTTAGTATTCCACTGAGAAAGCTTTACTCATTCTTTCCTCTTACCTGGTGATTCTCAAAAATAGATAAATACCATCAAAAATTTTAGAACTTAAAAACACACAGAATTTCTAAGTCTTAGTTCTAGACACCAATTTTTAAAGAAGCTGTATAGATGATTTTAATACTGGGAACTACTTCTTTATTCCTTGTTCATGTTCCATCTTTCTGCCTGAAATACCTTTTTTTATTTGCCTGCTAATTTTTTTAGGTATTCTTCAAAAGCTGGACTAAAAGCTTTCTCTGAGCTCTCTATCCCTTTAAAACTTCCATGTTTCAACTTTTTCGGTTTGTTTTTATACTCCTTGTCCTGGAATACAGGTTGGCATGTATTCTCTTTTTAGATATTTATCTTTCCAAATGAGAGCAAGATGATGATGACTTCTATTTCCTCATAGAACCAGTTTCTTGTACTAAATAAATATCCATTTATATTATTATTCTAAGTTATTATTTATTCCACATATTTCTCATCTTTGTAACTGGTAAAGTAGAACTGCAATAAGAATATATCAAGTGTTCATAGATAGAATGAATATGTATCTGCTCGAATGTAACACACTTCCAATATATGTGTTATTTCTTTAGTATATCACTTTCAGATTTGAAATTTAGGTTTTTCTAAAGCAATTCTATTTCATTTTTTCATATTTTTCTTAAAAGATTTAAGTGATAAAAAATTTGGAGAATATGTATGCTTAGGTTGCATTTGTAATTAAACAGGATTTAATCAAAGATCTCAAGTCAGAGTTGAGTGGAAATATGGAAGAACTGATTCTTGCCCTGTTCATGCCTCCTACATATTATGATGCCTGGAGTTTACGGAATGCAATGCAGGTACTTTGTCATTTACTACATTTTATTCCATTTCACATGTAAAACCCCACAAATTACAGTGGTTCTGAATTTTCATATCTGAACTAGTTTTTCAGTTCTAGAAGACAAGTATTTGTTGGAGTAGTAAAATTTAATTACTTTCAGTAATTGAAAATAAAGATTTTGCTTTTCTTTTATATAATTTACCCTTTTCTTCATTTCACATAGGGAGCAGGAACTCAGGAACGAGTATTGATAGAGATTTTGTGCACAAGAACAAATCAAGAAATCCGAGACATTGTCAGATGTTATCAAACAGAATTTGGACGAGACCTTGAAAAGGACATTAGGTCAGATACATCAGGACATTTTGAACGTTTACTTGTATCCATGTGCCAGGTGAGTATAGCGTGAATGTTTCTGTATAGTAGAGGGAACATACTTTATTGCCAATTAAAATGAACATTCTTATTAATTTTAATATTTAGCCACCTTGGAATATTGCCAGCTTTAAGAGGAATAGCACAGATTTGGTATTCAGGTTTTTTTGTAGTTAATACTGGGATTTATTTCTGCAAATTTGGATTTCCTAAGAAATTAGAAACTGGGGCTGGGGATGTGGCTCAAGCAGAAACGCGCTTGCCTGGCATGCGTGGGGCGCTGGGTTCGATCCTCAGCACCACATAAAATAAAAGATGTTGTGTCCACCGAAAACTGAAAAAAAAAAAAAAGGTAAACAAACCCCCCCCCCCCCCCCCCCTCTCTCCAAGGTTTAGTGGAAACGGAACCCAGCTTTAGGCTAGAATGGGGATAAAACTGTGTATTTAAGTTTAGCAGTGTCCTGCCAGTTATATTGGACCAAATGAAGATATGTAGGACAGCCATAGACCTGCTGAACTATGTAAAGAGAGCCAGAAATGCAGAAAAACATTTAAGGGTTCATATTAATACTATGATTAGTATCATTCTTATTCTGATTACCCAAATATGCTGGAGAAGTAACAGATAATACCCAAACTGGTATTTGGACAGAAAGGATGAGGGTGTATTTGAAGGAGATGATAAAAAAGACTAGCACACAGATTCAGTGTAAGGAGTTATGGCTGTCCTACTAGTGCATATGTCTTGAGGAATCTAAAAGTAGAAGAGGGACTCTTGAAAGCCAACGAGGTAATTGGAAAAAGTGCAGAAGTTAAGGGATATGGAAACAAGAAAATGAAGCAGATAGGTTGTTATAACAGTAACAGAGCAGGGAAGTAGGTTAGCATTTAGAAAGAACAAGGAGGAAAACAGGAATAGTTGATGCTAAAGAAATGTTTTAAGATTTTACATGAATTGCTGAGTTTCTCTTTATGCAGGAAGGGTTTAGGACCCCGCCATACTTTTCTGCGGTGTGAATAGAAGATTAGCTTCCTAGAAAAGGGGACTGCATTTTGAGTGTGAGTCCAAAGGCAGTGTTAAGGGAAGTTTTTCCTTGAGCATCTTTTTCTGTGCTATGTTCAGATACCCATTTAGAATATTCCTCTACATATTCTTTGTGTTAAGTGCTTCTTAGAAAACACTCTTCACCTTGAGAGAGCATCTTTTCATTTTGTTCCTCTGGCACCAACTTGAAAGGACAACCTTGTATTAAGATTATACTTGGGGGGGCTGGGGTTGTAGCTCAGTAGTAGAGTGCTTGCCTAGCATGTATGAGGCACTGGGTTTGATTCTCAGCACCACAGGTAAATAAATAAAATATAAAGGTCCTTTGACAACTAAAAAATTTTTAAAAAACTAAAAACACCTTAGATGAAGGAAAAGAAGTCCATAAAATCTCCATATTGTATCTTCCCTCCTTAGACTTTAAATTCCTTGAGGGCAAGAACCTTTAATTTTATGCATGGATATAAGGGGAATTCCATACAGTGCATATTGATGTTTAAATCTTAGCTTAGGAGAGTTTTAATTGTGTCATTTGGTAGTTTGTTTCTCCTAGTAAAGAGATTTTTGTTTAAATCTTTTCTGTTTTAATTTGACTCTCAAAGCCCTAAATTTCTTCCTTTTTTTTTTTTCCCCCTTCTGTATCAGGGATTGAACCCAGAGGCACTTTACTACTGAACTACATTTTTTATTTTGAGACAAAATAAGTTGCTGAGGCTGGCCTTGAACTTGTGACCCTCCTGTGTCAGCCTTCCAGGTTGCAGGTTCCAGGTTGCTGGCATGTGCCACTGCCTATCTTGAAACTCTTTGTTTTAAAATAACCTTATTAGGGCTGGGGATGTGGCTCAAGCGGTAGCGCGCTCGCCTGGCATGCGTGCGGCCCGGGTTCGATCCTCAGCACCACATACCAACAATCAAAGATGTTGTGTCCGCCGAGAACTAAAAAATAAATTAAAAAAAAAAAATTCTCTCTCTCTCTCTCTCTCCTCTCTCCCTCTCTCTTTAAAAAACAAACAAACAAACAAACAAACAAAAAACCTTATTAAACTCTGATCATTTGCTATAAAATCCAGACAGTGCAATATAGTACTAGCTGCACTGCTACAGTTTCTTTGGAAATGAAAGATACATATGATGACTTAATGTATTAATCTTTAATAAGTTGTCTCTTTAAATCCAAATGTTACAAGATTGCAAAACAATGTTTTTAATAGCACTTTTCTTCATTTCAATTCATGCCTTCTGTTTTTTTTTTTGCAGGGAAATCGTGATGAGAATCAGAGTGTAAACCACCAAATGGCTCAAGAAGATGCTCAGCGTCTCTATCAGGCTGGTGAGGGGAGACTAGGGACAGATGAATCTTGCTTTAACATGATCCTTGCCACACGAAGCTTTCCTCAGCTGAAAGCTACCATGGAGGCTTATTCCAGGGTATGAGCTTTTCTTCTGAAAATTTGGTGTCTGTTTTAGGATGTGAAAATATTTAACCCTATACTTTTTGTTGACAGATGTCTAATCGAGATTTGTTAAGCAGTGTGGGCCGCGAGTTTTCTGGATATGTTGAAAGTGGTTTGAAGACCATCTGTAAGATATTTTTGTGCTTTTCTTGGTTTTGTTTTCCAATCAATAGGGGTTTGAATAGTTGTTCCTATTAAGTGATAATAATTAATAAAATCTTCCTGGCATCACTTAGGCAGAAACTGAGTTAATTATATGTTTTTCTTTGTAATTTCCTGTGAATGGTTGCTGGTGTAGTCAAAATAGGATTGTTTTGAGATTATTCAACTTTATCTATAATATCTTTTCCCGAGAACTGTGCAAGAAGATTCAATAGATTATAACACTTCTTTAAGGTGAACAGGAAAGCATTAAGGAACTACTGGTACCACGACAAAACATTTTTGAACCCTCAATTATGTTTTTTAAGTACTTAGCCTAATGAGACCCTTTTCCCTTTTGAAATTAAACAACCCGTTTCTGGTGATCTAAATGTCCAGATGTCTATTTGAAATTGAAATTTTGTTCCCAGGGATACTAGGACTAAGGAGAGTAACACAATTGTATTAGCAATGGAGTATCTGACAAATATTACTATCCTAATTATAGCAAAAGTGATAAATGTACACTTAGTACCCTACTATTTGTAGGAGGAAACTCAACTGAGTGAATTTTCTAGAGAAATGCCAGATTTCTGAGCGTCATTTTGAACTCTGGTCAAATCTTATATCTTACTTTCAGCCAAATGATATTCTTGACTGAAAATTTGGTGTCTGTTTTAGGATGTGAAAATATTTAACCCTATAATTTTTGTTGACAGATGTCTAATTGAGATTTGTTAAGCAGTGTGGGCCAAGAATTTTCTGGATATGTTGAAAGTGGTTTGAAGACCATCTTACAGATGGTCTATTTCACAAGAGTCCTAGGCTTATTTTTTTCTTACAGGTGGTCTTCAAACCACTTAAAGAAGTTTGTCATTATTCCTCTTAAGATATTACTGGGGCACACTTCTTACAGATTTTCCCATTGTAAGGGAGCAAATATAATGAATCTAAATCAATACATTTATGGAGAAAAAAATGTTTTATGGGACAGAGGAAATCTTCTAGATTTGAAGGTAGCTTGTATGGTACAGCAAGAAAGAAAGATGGCTGAGAAAAACTAAGGGAGGTTGACATCTCCAACTCCTCTGAGATTTCTAAGATGATTATGTAGAAAATAAACGCAAGCTAGAAGTGACAAAATAAGCTGGAGGGGTAAACTGGTTTCCAAGTCATGATTTTAGTCTGAAGTATCTCTGACTTGCAGTGCAGTGTGCCCTGAACCGTCCTGCCTTCTTTGCTGAGCGGCTGTACTATTCTATGAAAGGTGCAGGCACAGATGACTCCACTCTGGTCAGGATTGTGGTCTCCCGAAGTGAGGTAAGGCAAAGCAGCACTTTCTCTTTTTGTCTGGGATTTTGAATGTTAGCTTCTTAAAAATGTATTAGTTGGTTGTGAACCCCTCAAGAATATTGTAAGAAAGAGCTTTCTCTGTCACTGTATTTATTTGTCATAGTATTCACTTTCTTCATTTTGTGAGAGAGGCCTATAGTAGTGAACAAAACCCTCTACCTCAATAAAAACACCACCAAGAAATGTTCCTAATTGAGAAGATCTGTGGAGACTACTTATTTTATGGCAAGTTGAATGATATTTATTTTTAATTTAATTTTTGAAAGAAACAGGAGTCAAGCTGTGTTGCCTTGGCTGGTCCCCAAACTCCTGGGCTCAAACACTCTTTCTGCCTGAGTCTCCTGAGCAACTGGAATTATAGGCACGTGCCACCATGCCTTGCTTGTTTGCTTGCTTTGGTTTGTTTGTTTATTTATTTATTTATTCATTTTTTCACTTTGTTTTGCCTGGCTGGAGTCAAACCTAGGGCCTTATATATGCCAAGCAAGTGCTCTACCACTAATTAATCTACAGTTTTGGGCTTATTTTTTAAATTTTGCTCATGTAAAAAATTACATGAAAAACTAATATATGTTAATCCTATTAGATATGAAAGTTGAATGAAAGTTGATTGAAATTTAATGTCCCTTATTCATTATAAGGGATCACCATTTTTCTTTACCTAAATGTGGACTCAAACATTTTTATTTATATATATATGCATCTATAAGAGTGTGTGTGTGTGTGTGTGTGTGTGTGTGTGTATGTGTGTGTGTGTGTTTAGGTTGAGGATTGAACCCAGGGCCTTATGTTAGGCAAACATTCTGCGACTAAGCTGTAGCCTGAGCCCTGAAATTTTTTAGTTTTAGGGAAATATACACGACTAAATAATACTAGAGAAGCTAGATCATTTTTACCAAACCAACCAGTATATGATGTTTTAAAAAACATTTTGTGTGTTTATTCTTAGTTCTCTAACCATGATCTTTTAAAAAATTGTAATGAGCTGAGCTTGTAGCTCAGTGGTAGAGCACTTGCCTAGCATGTATGAGGCACTGGGTTCAGTTCTCAGCACCACATATAAATAAATAAACAAACAAACAAATAAATAAATATCCATTGACAACTTAAAAATATTTTTAAAAATTGTAATGAAATATTCATAACACAAAATTTACCATTTTTAAACATTTTTAAGTATACAATTCACTGGCGTTAAATATATTTATGTTATTGTGTTACCATTACCACTGTCCACCTTAGAAATTTTTTCTTCTTGCCAAACAAAATTTCATGTTTCAGTATTGTAGGGACCTCTTACAGCATGAGGAAAGTTAATACTGTGCTTTATTCTACCTTTCTCCTTAAACAGTAACTCCCCAACCTCTTTTCTTTCAACCCTCAGAAACCACCATGCAACTTTTGTTTTTTATTTTTAATTTTTAATTTATTTTATTTATTTATGTGGTGCTGAGGATTGAACCCAGGGCCCTATGCATGCTAGGCAAGCATGCTACCACTGAGCCACAACCCCAGCCCAACACCATGCAACTTTCTATTCCTATGTTTCACTGTGCTAGCCACCCCGTATGAATGGAATCATAAAAGTATTTGATCTTTTGTGACTGGCTTTTTTCACTTAGCTTAGTGTCTTCATGATTCAGAAATTTCTCCCTTTTAAAGGCTAAATAATATTCTATCATATCTTTTTAAAATTTTTTTTTCAGATGTTGATGGACCTTGATTTTATTCATTTATTTATATGGGGTGCTGAGGATTGAACTCAGTGCCTCACACATGCTAGGCAAGCACTCTACCACTGAGCCACAACTCCAGCCCCAATATTCTATCTCATCTATTTACTACTTTTTCCTATCTGTCTTTGCAAATGTGGCTTGTTTCTACCTTTTGACAATTGCGAATAATGCTGCTGCAAAGATGGGTATACAATCTGTTCAGGTTCCTACTTTTCACTTTTTTCTTATTTACCAAGAAGTACAATTACTGAATGATGTAATTCTGTGGCTCTTTTGATTGGGGGGGGAATCACCATACTGTTTTCCATTGCAGTTGCATCATTTTACATTGTCACCAGTGATGAATAATGGTTCCCAATTGTTAACATCCTCTCCAACACTTATTACATTATTTGTTTGTGATAGGAATCATTCTATTATCAAATGGCTTATTCTATCATAGCCATTCGGTTTTTTAAATGACTAATATATTTGGAATAATAGATAACATGAGTATCACACTTACCCAGTATTTTACAGAACAGTTAATCAGACTTCCACTGGGTACTGCTAACCCTGGTATGAATGTCAGCTATAAAATGTCAGTCACTAGGTGTTTCCTCCTTCCCCACATTTTGATTATTAAGAACTTATGATTAGCCAGGTGTGGTGGCACACGCCTGTAATCCCAGCAGCTCAGGAGGCTGAGACCGGAGGATTGTGAATTCAGAGACAGCCTCAGCAACATCAAGGTGCTAAGCAACTCAGTGAGACCCTGTCTTTAAATAAAATACAAAAAATGGCTGGGGTCATGACTCAGTTGTTGAGTGCCCCTAAATTCAATCCCCAGTGCCACACACAAAACAAATTTTACGATCATTAAGAATTACAGTAAAAACTAGGGGTTTTTGACTAATTTTTTTTTTCCTAACCTATCATTTCTTATGCAGATCGACCTTGTACAAATAAAAGCGATGTTCACTCAGATGTATCAGAAGACCCTGGGCACAATGATTGCAAGTGACACAAGTGGAGATTACCGAAAGCTGCTTCTGGCTATTGTGGGTCAGTAGAAGGGATTTTTTTTTTTTTTAAAGGAATGAAGCTATTCATAGCTCATCCTTTAGAACAATGACTGACCCCCATGCAGCAGTATCAACTACCGCTTAACCAAAACAGCTTTTTACCAAGGACTGTCAGGGTAATGTGCTCAGTTTGCACATGTTGTTGTTGCCTTAAATCTAATGTTATCTTTTCATTCTGTGTATAAAGTAAAGCCATATCACAATGATGTAATAATTTTGCAATGTTTGTAAAGCTTCATTCTCACTGCTTTTATTCTAATCAGGATTTCAAATTGAATAAAAATCACAGCAATATTTACATGTGTAATCATGAGTACATGTTTTAAAAGATTTCTCATTGGACCGGGGACATATCTCAGTGTTATAGCAGTTGCTGGGTATGTGAGGGCGTGAGTTCAATCCCCAGTTCTGCAACAACAAAAACTCATCACCTCAATCTAGTTAAAAAAAAAAAAATGAGAAAATACTATTTTATAAAAGTAATGCTGTTTTGGCTTGACTTCAGAACATGATTGTGATAAAGGAATATAAATAATGATGTGTCCACACAACTCACAGCTAGTAATAACTGGTTATTTCCCTCCTTCCCTCTGCCTTGTGCATGCTCAGCAAGTGCTCTACATCCCTGTCCCTTTAAAAATAAATTTATTTTGAAATGGTTTTGCCAAGTTGCCAAGTCTGGCTTTGAACTTGTTGTTCTGCCTTAGCTTCTCAACTATTTGGGAATGTGGGCATGTACCACTGTGCTTGGCTTACTTATTCTTTGTTTTCTAACATCTTAGTCTTTTCAGCAAAAATAGGAAAAAAAAAAAAAGAGAGAGACTTTGCTTTAACTAAGTTTGTATTATATTTCCATTAAAAAATATAGATTTATGGGGGCTGGGCTCAGTGATAGAGCACTTACTGTGCATGGGTGAGGCACTGGGTTTGATCCTCAGTACCACATAAAAATAAATAAATAGATATATTGTGTCCATCTACAACTAAAAAAATATTTTAAAAAATAGATTTATTTTGTTTATTTAGTTTTTCTTTTTTAATGTGGTGCTGGGATGTGATTCTGCAACCTGTACACTTAGAAAAATGAGAATTCATACCCCATTTGATTCAAATGTATGATATGTCAGGATCTTTGTATTGTCATGAGCAGCTAATAAACAATTAAAAAATAGATTTAAATGTTGGTAGGGGGAACTCAGGATTGAACTCAGGAGCATTCTGCCTTGAGCTACATACTCATCTTTTTAAATTTTTATTTTGAGACTGGGTCCCACCTCCTCAGTCTTCTTAGTAGTTGGGATGACAGACGTGCACCACCTTCCCCAGCTTAAAATCAGTATGATGTTCGCCAAATGAGAACAATTTACCTGAAATCTGAGCAAAGAGATTTCTACAATCTTCAAATTGGTAAATGTGGAGATTATAGAGATTTTGCTGGTATTCTTGAGATTCCTTTCCATCCTAAGGCTGATTATTATAAACTATTTCCCTGCTACGGGATAGTGGGAGTTCCCTAATGCAGACCACACAGCACTGAAAGTGGTGAGTTCATCAAACCTGGTATTGTAAACTGATGGGACTACGTGCAAGATGGTAAATATTGTTATGCCTCCAAGGCTGTTAGGAGCTGAGTAGGAGTGAAAGAAGGTTGCCTCCTCCTCTTCAGATCCCCAGTATCATTACCCTAACTTTTTATTGGGCAGGACATCAGATTGTTTCTGTATTCCTATGGGATTCCACAGGATATGGAAGAAAGGCAAGGATCACTTTATATGTTCAATACTCAAAGTAAAATAAATCATTTTTAATTTATATAAATCACTATCTTCTTTTAACCTTTTTTACCCTAAGCTTTGTTTCTTAGCACTTTACTAGCTATCCAATGTACAATAGGGTGGAGGAAGTATTTGTTGCCTTTCTAGGTAATAAAGTCTACTAATAACAACTGTTTTATGGCCTTTCCTCTCATAATCATTTTTCTGTTATCTTTCTGAAATTACATTTTAGGTATCAACTGTCATTTTTGCTTAACTACCAAACAACCATATCATCTTATTTTAAGTTAGCATTTGTAAAAGTCTTTGAAATTCTGATTTTACTAATTTATAAATTTGATTGATAGGAAACTAATAAAAATTCCCAAAAGACAACTTTAATTTTAAGATAAATAACTAAATAATCAATTTGGTTCCATGATTTTTCAGAAACAATAGAAATTGTAAATTTCTTTTTTAAAAAATTCAGCTCTTTTGACCGAGAAGGGTAATTTGTATCTTATTTTGCATGATTGGTGTCCTGTATTCAAAATATTTAACTCTCTACAGACCAGTTTTACCTATGACAACTTTTTAAAATGGAATCAAATGTTTATGTTTAAAATACACATCTTACTTTTCCCAGTTTTTAAAATTGAGGTATTTTTTATTGGCATGCTTCACTTAGTAACTTGTTGCCTGAGTTCAAAGTTCATATTTTTTATTGAATAAAAAAATGTACATATTTAAGGTACACATTATGGTGTTTTGATATGCCTTGTGAGTGATTCCCACAATCAGGTTCAAACTAATATCTGTCACCTGCCACATTTAACGAGTTTTTTTGTATGTGTAGTGAGGACACTTAAGATCTACCTTAGCAAATTTCAAGTGTACAAAACATAATTAACTATAGTCACCATGCTGAACATTAGATCTCCAGAATTTATAACTGAAAGTTTGTACCCTTTGACCAATATGTCCCTATTTCTTTACCCCCACCCCTAACAACTACCATCTACTGTTTCTCTGAGTTCTATTATTTTAGATTCCACATTTTTAAAATATGCAATATTTGTCTTTGGCTTATTTTACTTAGTATACCTGTCATACAAGTTTATAGTTAATCCCTGTTGCAAATGGCAGATTTCCTTTTTTTGAATAATGTTCCATAGTATATGTAGACCAGGATTTCTTTATCCATTTGTCCATTGGTGGACATGGGTTATTTCTATATCTTTTTCTTTTATATTTTTTTAGTTGATGATAGATCTTTATTTTTTATTTATGTATACCTGGTGCTGAGAATTGAACCCAGTGCCTCACACATGCCAGGCAAGTGTGCTACTGCTGAGCCACAGCCCTAGCCCCTGTTTCTATATCTTGGTTATTGTGAATAATGCTGCAGTGAACATGGGATTGTGGATATTTCTTCAAGATACTTTATATTTGGTGCCCTTCAATTATATATGCAAAAATGGTATTTCTGGATTTTAAGTAGTTAATATTTTGAGGAACGTCCAAACTATTTTCCATAACAGCTGTACCAGTTTACATTTTCAGCAACAGTATAAAAGGGTTTCCTTATGCCTGTGATCCCAGTGGCTCCGGAGGCTGAGGCAGGAGGATCATGAGTTCAAAGGCAGCCTCAGCAATGGCAAAGTGCTGGGCAACTTAGTGAGATCCTGTTTCTAAATAAAATACAAATAGGGCTGGGGATGTGGCTCAGTGGTTGAAGTTCAATCCTCAAAAAAAAAAAAAAAAAAGGATTCCCTTTTTCTCACATCCATGCCAATATTTATTATGTCCTTTCTTTCTGATAATAGCCAACTTAAGTATTATGAGGTAGTGTCTTCATGGTTCTGATTTACATTTCCCTAATGATTAGTGATGTGGAGCAACTTTTCATGTGCCTGTAAGCCATTTGTATGGCATCTTTGGAAGAATGTTTATTGAGGTCCTTTGCCCATTTTTTTTTTTAAGACAGAGGGGGAGAGAGAGAGAGAGAGGGAGAGAATCTTAATATTTATTTTTTAGTTTT